CAGCATTCCCTCCCCTTCCCTCCCACCCCTGGTAACCAACAAAGAAAATGTCCTCCAATATATAAACCTTTCCTTAACTTTCACAATAACGGACTAATACAATATTTGTCCTTTTGTGACTGACTTATTTCGCTCAGCATAATGTCCTCCAAGTTCATCCACGTTATGCGGTGTTTTGCAGATTCTACATTATTCTTTAGCATTGCATAGTATTCCATTGTGTGAATGTACCAAAGTTTGGTTATCCATTCCTCAGTTGTTGGACATCTAGGTTGTTTCCAAGTTTTGGCTATTGTAAATAGTGCTGCGATGAACATCGGCGTGCATATATCTGTTCTTGTTAAGCCATGGTATTTTTAATCACCTCTTATCATGAGAAAGTTGGACAATTAATAAGGAAGACTGAAGAAGAATTGATGCCTTTGAATTATGGTGCTGGTGAAGAATATAGAATATACCATGGACTGCCAGAAGAATGAACAAATTTCTCTCAGAAGAAGTATAGTCAGAATGCTCCTTAGAAGCAAGGATGGCAAGACTTCATCTCAGATACTTTGGACATGTAATAAGAAGCCACCAGTCCCTGGAGAAGGACATTATGCTCGGTAAAGTAGAAGGTCAGTGAGAAAGAAGACCCTCAATGAGATGGATTGACCCAGGAGCTCAAACACAGCAAAACCTCTGAGGATGGCACAAGACCAGGCAGTATTTCTTTCTGTTGCACCGAGACAGGGTTGTTGGTTGTTAGTAGTTGGAACTGACTCAACAGCACCTAACACCACCACAATAAGTTATTTATTATATGGTTATTTTCTAGTAGAAAAAAATTTTTTTTTTCCTATAGGAAGTGTGATTTACCCAGCTGGCTTTAAACAGAAGTTATTTTCTAAGAGAAAGAGGCTGCTGTTCTGTGTTACCAAAAGAGAATGAAAACGCCACCACTGGCAGATACAAAGAATATTCTAAGGGGAATTTACTAGACAGATTCAAAGAATGTCTGAGTCTGGCTGGGTACACCAGAGCTGAGACTTCAGTGTAGGCTTCTTTGATTCCTTATTCTTTGTTCTTATTGTTGTGTTTTTCAAATTGGCATGCAAACCAAACCCACAGGCAGGGTCACTGCCCGTGACAGTGGTAGCACAGTCTGTGCAGTGCACAACTCCAGAGCATACCACTCACATAGCCTATGATAAGAATGGTGCCCCCTGAGGTTGGGCAGCACAGTGACCCTGCCCACAGGTACCTGGCACTGGGTGAAGTTTTACTCAAATATCACTAAAAAACTCTACTCATCCTCCCAGAGGAATAATTATATCCAACCTTAAGTGACATGTAACATTACTTTTATATTAAAACAAAGATGGCTATATTTTGGCTCTATACATGGGATTCAATGTAAAATTCACATCAGCTTAAATATTAAGACTTCTAAGAACGTCATGCTTTCTGTGGGCCACTTGGGGCTACATCCCCCATCTCTTAGGGACCAGCCTCTCATGTTAGGGCTACTTTGGTTAAACAGGCATTTATTCTCTGACATTTAGGGGAAAATAAACTCTCACTGTAAATTAAAAACTATATGGATAGGCTTGTTGCTTATGAATATAACCAGAACAAATTCAGCAGTCCAGATTTTAGCATGAAATTTTACAAACAATAATAATATGATCATAAAGAATTAGAAAAGTTAAATACTAAAATTACTGTTTCTTTAGTAGCCATATTATATCCAATGTAAAAACTGATTTATAGTTAAATCAGTCATAGTATTAGTTGTTTATATTTTGTTGAGTTCTGCTATTGTTCATCTGGCATTAATCCAAGTCAAATTTGCATGGAAAATTATTAAAATTCATCTTGCCATCTGGGGAGGAAATGATCTATAAATGACACTAATCTTTTTTTTTTTT